TCCAGCCACGCCCACTCTAACGCCCACAAATCTCAAAAAACTAAAATCGCTGAAATCTCAGGAACTATTAGAGCTAAAAAGTTGAAGTCAGTATGTATAATCTTTATATTCCAGCGCATCTTATAGTGGTACTATTAACCGGCCACACGCACCCATACGCCCTCCATGCTCAAAATACGGTTTTCGCATTTTCTAGAAAAGCTGATATCTCGGTACCTATAAGTAATAGAAAGTTAGGAATAAGCATGATGGTTTTTATGATGCTCTTAATGCGAATTGTTTTTTTTTCGATTAAGCCACGTCCACTCTAAGGCCCACAAAACCCGAAAACCAAAATTGCGATCAATAGCGAAAACAATTGAGCCATATCCGTCCGTCTGTCCGTATGAACGCCGAGATCTCAGGAAATATAAGAGATACAAAGTTCAGATTAAGTATAAAGATTCTTGAAGTGCCTACGCAGCGCAAGTTTATTACAGCATCCAGCCACGCCCACTCTAACGCCCACAAATCTCAAAAAACTAAAATCGCTGAAATCTCAGGAACTATTAGAGCTAAAAAGTTGAAGTCAGTATGTATAATCTTTATATTCCAGCGCATCTTATAGTGGTACTATTAACCGGCCACACGCACCCATACGCCCTCCATGCTCAAAATACGGTTTTCGCATTTTCTAGAATACCTGATATCTCGGTACCTATAAGTAATGGAAAGTTCGGAATAAGCATGATTGTTTTTATGATGCTCTTAATGCGAATTGTTTTTTTTCGATTAAGCCACGTCCACTCTGAGGCCCACAAAACCCGAAAACCAAAATTCCTATCAATAGCGAAAACGATTGAGCCATGTTCGTCTGACTGTCCGTCTGTCCGTATGAACGCCGAGATCTCAGGAAATATAAGAGATACAAAGTTCAGATTAAGTATAAAGATTCTTGAAGTGCATACGCAGCTTAAGTTTATAACAGCATACGCCCACCATGCTCAAAATACGGTTTTCGCATTTTCTAGAAAAGCTGATATCTCGGTACCTATAAGTAATAGAAAGTTCGGAATAAGCATGATGGTTTTTATGATGCTCTTAATGCGAATTGTTTTTTTTCGATTAAGCCACGTCCACTCTAAGGCCCACAAAACCCGAAAACCAAAATTGCGATCAATATCGAAAACAATTGAGCCATATCCGTCCGTCTGTCCGTATGAACGCCGAGATCTCAGGAAATATAAGAGATACAAAGTTCAGATTAAGTATAAAGATTCTTGAAGTGCCTACGCAGCGCAAGTTTATTACAGCATCCAGCCACGCCCACTCTAACGCCCACAAATCTCAAAAAACTAAAATCGCTGAAATCTCAGGAACTATTAGAGCTAAAAAGTTGAAGTCAGTATGTATAATCTTTATATTCCAGCGCATCTTATAGTGGTACTATTAACCGGCCACACGCACCCATACGCCCTCCATGCTCAAAATACGGTTTTCGCATTTTCTAGAATACCTGATATCTCGGTACCTATAAGTAATGGAAAGTTCGGAATAAGCATGATTGTTTTTATGATGCTCTTAATGCGAATTGTTTTTTCGATTAAGCCACGTCCACTCTGAGGCCCACAAAACCCGAAAACCAAAATTGCGATCAATATCGAAAACAATTGAGCCATATCCGTCTGACTGTCCGTCTGTCCGTATGAACGCCGAGATCTCAGGAAATATAAGAGATACAAAGTTCAGATTAAGTATAAAGATTCTTGAAGTGCATACGCAGCTTAAGTTTATAACAGCATACGCCCACCATGCTCAAAATACGGTTTTCGCATTTTCTAGAAAAGCTGATATCTCGGTACCTATAAGTAATAGAAAGTTCGGAATAAGCATGATGGTTTTTATGATGCTCTTAATGCGAATTGTTTTTTTTCGATTAAGCCACGTCCACTCTAAGGCCCACAAAACCCGAAAACCAAAATTGCGATCAATATCGAAAACAATTGAGCCATATCCGTCTGACTGTCCGTCTGTCCGTATGAACGCCAAGATCTCAGGAAATATAAGAGATACAAAGTTCAGATTAAGTATAAAGATTCTTGAAGTGCCTACGCAGCGCAAGTTTATTACAGCATCCTGCCAGGCCCACTTTAACGCCCACAAATCGCGAAAAACTAAAATCACTGATATCTCAGGAACTATTAGAGCTAGAAAGTTTAAATTCAGTATGTATAATCTTTATTTTTATTATTATTATAAAAGGTAGAAAAGTTTACAAAACTAGACTAGCTTAATGATATAGCGCTGGCTACTGTGGCCTTCGGCTATGTGAGTTTTTGGTGCTTAAGCCTTAAGGGATGATATATATACATGTTGTGTCTTAACTTAATATTTAATCATTATCTATTTATTCTGTACATTATTTTTCTTAAGTTAGGCAACTAGTCTTATTAAATGTTTATATTTAGATTTTGTGGTATAATTGTGTTGATTTTAGGAAAAGTAGTATTTTATTAATATTTTCTGGGTTTAGGTCATTGAGGAGATGTAGCGGGTTGGAGTTCTTTAAGATAGTTTGCTTTGTTTGGAGGAGAGGTGGATGGTGTAGGGAGAGGTTGCCTTGACAGAAAGGGTGGTGTTGGAATTTGGTTCAGATAGTGTTGGTGGGTGAGGCTGGTGTGTCCTAGACGTAGTCGGGTAATTTTAGTTTGGTCGAGTCTATTCCAGTTTGGGTGGGTTTGTCTAAAATGGTCGCTAATATGGTGGCTATTGGTGTTGATGGATTGGTACCATTGGCTTGTAACGGTCCTGCTTCGGAGTGCCTGGGACGGTTCACCGGATACCAGCAGTTCGTTCCAACATTTAGTTTGATGTCAGGCGTGGTTGCGAGAAAAGAAGGTTCCACCCAGAGTAAGGACGCAGCAGGTTCGGTTAAGTTAGATTATATCTCAGTTGTTTATTTCATTTCTAGGGTTACAGAGTTATTTTACAAGGTTTCGGCGGGTCGTCGCCGGGCGGTCTGCGGGGCCAGGAGGGAGAGCTTCCGAGGGAGGGTAGTCGGGTGTCCGATGCTCCGTTGGGTGCCGAGGGGGAGGCCGTTTGGGAACCGGGCCTGACCGTCTGGGCGATCCGCTAGCTAAAGAAAGAAGAGACAAAAATGGAAACGAAAGAATGGGTGACGGCCCGAGGGCCGGTTACGCGAAAGATTATGGAATCGGTATGATAAAAGAATGACTAGAAACCCAGTGGGTCTCGGGTGAGAGATGACACGAGGCCCTTTGGGTCCGACGTGTAAGTGATGCAAAGCCCCGGTAGGGCTGTTGCTAGAGATGATGCGAGGCCCTTGGGGTCCGTCGCGTAAGAACGGCAGAGTCCCTGTGGGACTCTTGCGAGAGATGCCGCGAGGCCCTTGAGGTCCGACGCGTAAGAGATGCAAAGTCCCTGTGGGACTCTTACGAGAGATGACGCGAGGCCGTTGAGGTCCGACGCGTAAGAGATGCAAAATCCCTGTGGGACTCTTGCGAGAGATGACGCGAGGCCCTGAAGGTCCGACGCGTAAGAGATGCAAAGTCCCTGTGGGACTCTTACGAGAGATGACGCGAGGCCCTGAAGGTCCGACGCGTAAGAGACGCAAAATCCCTGTGGGACTCCTGCGAGAGATGACGCGAGGCCCTGAAGGTCCGACGCGTAAGAGACGCAAAAATCCCCGTGGGACTCCTGCGAGAGATGACGCGAGGCCCTGAAGGTCCGACGCGTAAGAGACGCAAAGCCGGGTAAGGCTGTTGCGACAGTGCCTGGCAGTGATCCCGTGGATCTGCTGCGGCAAGCATCGGCGAATGGCCGATGGCAGTGCTCCCTCGGTATGACCGAGGTCGAATTTATTAGATTTAGCCTGAGGCTAAATCTGACCCAAAAAGTGACTAGTGCTGGTGAGGGTGCCCAACTGCGGGAGAGGGCTGATCTTACCTGGGTGAGATCCACCGCACAAGTGACTCTTCCCAGAAACTGGTCCTCCTTATATACCCGGTGGGTGCCGCCAGTGTGCCCGTTCCCGAAAATCCCTTTCTGTAGTGTGACCGTTCGGCCCGGTGGTGTGACCGATCGTGGTTCACTAAGGCGCCCACCGCATTCAAATTCAAATCTTATTTATTTAATAACTCAACAGCGACTATTTCAGTGTCTTTTCTCTCCTTATAACTATGAACAAATTATCCTAAAAACTTCATTATTTGACTCTCCTTACAACTATAACAAATTATCCTAAGTACTTCATTATTTGACTCTCCTTACAACTATAACAAATTATCCTAAGTACTTCATTGTTTGGCTCCATGGCTATTTTTATATCTTATCCTCTTTTTTATGCGCCCCGGGCGTCATACTACCCCCCCGTTTTTATGGGCGGCTGGCGTGTGGGGCCGGATCATGATGCGGCGGCCTCGCCCGAAGATGACCTGGAGGGTGACATCCCCATTGGGCACCAGGACGCTGCGGTGCTGTCCAAACCGCAACCCGGCCCAACGCTCCCGGGTGTGGGCCTGGGTGGTTGGGAGTAGGTGGACTCCCGCCTGGATCTGCCATTCGACGCCGCTCATATCGTCCCCACGTCGCTGCCCTCCAGTGGTGTCCTGTCGACGGGCCTCCTCCGGCTGCCTTCGGTTCGCCTGCCGGACAGTGACTCTTCGGCCTCTGCCGAAGAGCACATTCCACGTTCGTGCCCCTTCCGGCACCAGCAGGCTCTGTTGTTTGCCCCTGGGCTTCCTTCTCCATCTGTCCAGAATTTGTTCCACCGTTGCTGGCCGGAGGACGACCCCTGCTGGGACCGTCCACCCCCAGTTATTTATTATTATTTCTTCTTCGTGGAGCGAAGAAGAGGAGGGATAAGCGGTGGTTTCCCCCCCCCCCGAACCTTCCGAGACGCAACACTGTAGTACGTCTCGGTCCGGGGAGTTGTCTCTTGTCACGTCGGTGTGATCGTTGGGGCCTGCCGCCCTATCGACTCCTCCTTACGGCGCCTCGTCGTCGGTCGTGCTTCGGCCCTGGTGTTCTTCTCTTGCCGGACTTCCCCCGGCCACCTTGCGCCGGACCCCTGGCCGTGTGGGTGCCGTCCGGATCCTTATCTCGGGTCCGGCGGCCCGTGCTGGTATTACTTTGGCCCTCTTGGCGGCCCGTTGCAGTTGGGCGCTATGCTCCCGGAACCGCTCTTTTGAGTGTTGGAATTTGTCCATGTTTCCTGAAATGATGAGAGCGGAAGTTTGGTTACTACGGTTATTGGGGTTCGATTCGCCCGGGTATGCCCGTTTTTTAATTGTGCCCCCCTGCTTCCTTAACTCTGCTATTACCGGTGACGGAAAACCCCGTACCTCCCATGGCCCGTCGTATTTTGGCGCTAACTTTGCGTTAAACTTATCTATCGCACTAGATAGGAAGTGTGTTCTGCACCACACTAATTGCCCTATTTTGGGCTTCCATACCCTTTTCCGTAGGTCATAGTGTCGTTTCTGATTTTCCGCGGCGTCTTCCATATTCCTGTAAGCTTCCGACCTGGTATTCTTCAGTCGTTCCCATCTTTCGGGAACCGATTCTAATACCAGACCGGAGCCTTTCGTAACTTTGTCGAACAGTGCTCCGGGCAACCGCAGCTCTTTCCATAGAGTAATTGTGCCGGGCTATGCCCCGTTGACTCCGAAGTGCTGCTGTTATACGCGAGCATCAACTCCGGTAGGTTTTCGTCCCATCTGGTTTGTTCCCCTCCTGTCAATTCCGCTATCATGGTTTTCACTGTCCGGTTCGTGCGCTCGGTCGGGTTTTGCTGCGGTGTGTACGGCGCGGTGAATTGCTGTTTTATTCCCCAGTGTTCCATAGCTGTCTTGGTCTTCCTGCCGGTGAATTGTACTCCGTTGTCAGATATCAGGATTTTAGGGGCTCCAATCCTTGCTATCACCTTTTCCCGGAATACCTTCAGGAACGTGTCCGCCGTTGCTTGCCGTACCGCCGTTAATTCTACCCACTTTGAAAATTTATCTACGATTACTACCAAAATAGTATTCCCGTGTCGTGTCCTTGGTAGTGGGCCCACAAAATCCACACATAAGGTTTCCCATGGAGCCTCGGCGATCTTTGTCAGCATCTGTCCTGCTGGGTGTTGTTGCGACGTCTTGTACTGCTGGCAGTGGTTCTCTCGTAATACCGCCTGTACCTCTTCTCCCGCGACGCACAGCTTCCAGGGGTTAAGGTCTCCCTTCTTGGAGCCCTGTTTGTACAATCTTCCGCCCTCGATCCTATATTCCTCGTCTCCCGGGTTCTCCTGGCATTCCTTGTATTTCTTTTCTAGCCAGCCCGGTCCTGTTCGTGCCATTTTTACCTCGACTGGTGGCGCGCGAGATAATGCGTTTGCTACGGCGTTCAGTTTTCCCTTGCGGTATCTTACTTCGAATTGAAACGGTTGCAAGCCTAATGCCCACCTTGCCACTCTGCCCGAAGGGCTTTCAATCGAATTCAGCCATCTGAGTGCTTGATGGTCGGTTATCACTACGAACCTGTACCCTTCCAAGTACATCTTGTATTTGTGGATACTCCAATATATAGCGAGACATTCTTTTTCGGTGGCACTGTAGTTCCGCTCCGCTTGGTTCAACCTCCTGCTCGCATATGCTATCACTCGTTCCCCTTCTGGGTTCTCCTGCGTCAGCACTGCCCCTATCCCGAAGTCGCTGGCGTCCGTTTGTAACACGAACTGCCTAGTGAAATCGGGACATGCTAACACTGGTGCCCGTGTTAAGCTGGTCTTTATTTGATCAAATGCTGCCTGATGTCGAGGTTGCCAGTCGAACTTTCTCCCTTTCTGTATTAGTTCTTGGAGTGGGTCTGCCTGTTCCGAGAACCCCGGTATGAATTTCCTGTACCATGACGCCATTCCCAAAAAGCTGTGGACTTCCTTGGTTGTGCCTGGCGTGGGTAGTTCCCTTATGGCTGCCACTTTATCCGGGTCTGTCTGTATTCCTTGATCGGTTACGATATGTCCCAGATACCTTAGCTCTTTTTGAAAGAAATGGCATTTTTCCGCGTTGATTTTTAGGTTCGTTTCTTGGAGCCGCCTAAACACCTCCTGTAGCTTCTCCAGGTGCTCCCGCTTATTCCTTCCAATTACCACGATGTCATCCAGATATGCGAATGCAAACGGCTCCATTTCTGGCCCTATGATGGTATCCAGGGCTCTTTGGAACGTTGCCGGTGCCGTGGTGAGACCAAATGGCATCACCTTCCATTGGAACAGCCCTCGTCCTGGTACCGTAAATGCAGTGTACTGCTTACTATCCTCGTCCATTGGTATTTGCCAATACCCTGCCTTCAGGTCGATTGTGCTAATGAACTTGGCCTCCCGGAGTTGGTTTAATATGAAATCCATCCTTGGTACCGGGTATGCGTCTTTCTCCGTTTTCTCGTTTAGTAACCTGTAGTCCACACACATTCTCCATTCGTTGTTTTTCTTTCGTACCAAGACTACCGGCGCGCTGTATGAGCTTCGTGAGGGTTCTATCAGCCCCTGGTCCAATAGTTCGTTTACCTGTTCGTTTATAATGGCTTGCTGTTTTGGGTTGCGCGGGTAATAGCGTTGTCTCACTGGTCTTTCGTCCTTCATGTATATTGTGTGTGTTGCGATCGTACTGCATCCCTTCATCCTTTCAAACACCATCATTTGTTCCTCCAGGAATGTCTGGATCTCCTCCTCGGATGGCTCCGTTTTTATTCCTGCTTCCTCCCGCTGTTTCCGTTTTTTTCCTCCTGAGGCTCTCTGATGGTTATTTCCTGATGGTCGCATCGTATTATCGTTCCTACTTTTGCCAAGAAGTCCATCCCCAGCAGCATTCCTCCTGTCACTTGGTCCAGGATCAAGAAACTTAGCTTGAATCGCTTGCTCCCGAACTGGACGAGCGTGGCGAATTTCCCCATTACCTTTTGTCTTGCTCCGTTTGCCAGGGTTATTTCCTCCCTTTCCTCGTTCCATCTACCCTGCTTCCTTAGGCTTCGATAACTTCCCTGGTCGATCACGCTTCTTGATGCCCCGGTGTCCACTATTCCCTTCGCCCTTTTCGTTCCGATCCTTACCTCTGCTGTTGCCTGGAATCCATCGTAGCTTATCCCTCCTCTTCCTGCCGGTCCTAGTGCTCGGTCCTGTACTGCCAGAGTCGCCTGCTCCAGCCTCCTGTTGACGTCCGGCCGGGCTCTACAACATTCGGTTGTCCTCCGCTCGTTTCTCCCGCACACCCAGCAGAATAACCTTGGAGGGTTGCCGCACGCCCTTGTGGCGTGTCCTGTTCCTCCACACCTCATGCAGATCTCCGGCCTTAGTCCGTGGCTCCTTGTCTCTGCCGGGTGATCCTGATTTTCCGCCGCCTCGATTTCCTCCACCTCCTCTGCTAGTGTTAGGAACTCTGTCAGTGATGCAAAACCTGATCTTCGTGCATAAAGCTTTATTTTGCTCCGACAGTTCTTGTATATCCTATCCAGTTTTTCTTTTTCTGAGTAACTGGTGAACCTCATCAGCTTCCTCAGCTCCATTGCATATGCCCGAGTGGGTTCCCCTTCTTTCTGCCGGAGTTGTCCGATTTTTAAATCCAGTTGCTCCTGGTACCTTGGTGGTAGGAAGTACTCTAGGAGTTCCCCTCTCAATTCTTCCCATGTTCTTACCCGACTTGGCGTCGTATTCCACCAGTCTTCTGCGGCGCCTTCCAAGATAAAAGGCATCGTTTGTACCAATTCATCCTTGTCTATGCCATATCCTGTGGCCCATTCTTCCATCTTGCCTAGGAACTCCAGTGGGTTGGATGTGCCCTGGTATCGTATTCCCCAACTTCTTACTCTGTCCAGAGATTCCACTTTCCTCCTGTCTCCCATGCTCTGAGTCTCCTCTTTCGTGGCTGTCCTTTTGCTGTCCGGCTCGACCTGGGCCCCTCCACCCGGTATTTCCATCTTCTTGTACTTCCTTGATACCTCCATTAATCTTGTCCTGATCTCCTCTGTGTGCTCCGTGCTCTTCGTGTATGTTGACAGTCTTTGTCTTAGCTCCCTTGATCCTCCGCTTGGGTCCACGCCGAATTCACTCGCGTATTCTACCAGCTCTGCTTTTGTAGCCTGGTATACCCAGCTCGACATTACTCTCTTAGTGTCCTTTTTCCTGCAACCACTTCAACCTGTTCGGGCGCCATGTAACGGTCCTGCTTCGGGGTGCCTGGGACGGTTCACCGGATACCAGCAGTTCGTTCCAACATTTAGTTTGATGTCAGGCGTGGTTGCTAGAAAAGAAGGTTCCACCCAGAGTAAGGACGCAGCAGGTTCGGTTAAGTTAGATTATATCTCAGTTGTTTATTTCATTTCTAGGGTTACAGAGTTATTTTACAAGGTTTCGGCGGGTCGTCGCCGGGCGGTCTGCGGGGCCAGGAGGGAGAGCTTCCGAGGGAGGGTAGTCGGGTGTCCGATGCTCCGTAGGGTGCCGAGGGGGAGGCCGTTTGGGAACCGGGCCTGACCGTCTGGGCGATCCGCTAGCTAAAGAAAGAAGAGACAAAAATGGAAACGAAAGAATGGGTGACGGCCCGAGGGCCGGTTACGCGAGCGAGTGTGAATGTGATGAGGAAAAGATTATGGAATCGGTATGATAAAAGAATGACTAGAAACCCAGTGGGTCTCGGGTGAGAGATGACACGAGGCCCTTTGGGTCCGACGTGTGAGTGATGCAAAGCCCCGGTAGGGCTGTTGCTAGAGATGATGCGAGGCCCTTGGGGTCCGTCGCGTAATAACGGCAGAGTCCCTGTGGGACTCTTGCGAGAGATGCCGCGAGGTCCTTGAGGTCCGACGCGTAAGAGATGCAAAGTCCCTGTGGGACTCTTACGAGAGATGACGCGAGGCCGTTGAGGTCCGACGCGTAAGAGATGCAAAATCCCTGTGGGACTCTTGCGAGAGATGCCGCGAGGTCCCCTGAAGGTCCGACGCGTAAAGATGCAAGAGAGTCCCTGTGGGACTCTTACGAGAGATGACGCGAGGCCGTTGAACGCGTAAGAGCAAAATCCCTTTGGGAAGGGACTCTTGCGAGAGATGACGCGAGGCCCTGAAGGTCCGACGCGTAAGAGACGCAAAATCCCTGTGGGACTCCTGCGAGAGATGACGCGAGGCCCTGAAGGTCCGACGCGTAAGAGACGCAAAATCCCTGTGGGACTCCTGCGAGAGATGACGCGAGGCCCTGAAGGTCCGACGCGTAAGAGACGCAAAGCCGGGTAAGGCTGTTGCGACAGTGCCTGGCAGTGATCCCGTGGATCTGCTGCGGCAAGCATCGGCGAATGGCCGATGGCAGTGCTCCCTCGGTATGACCGAGGTCGAATTTATTAGATTTAGCCTGAGGCTAAATCTGACCCAAAAAGTGACTAGTGCTGGTGAGGGTGCCCAACTGCGGGAGAGGGCTGATCTTACCTGGGTGAGATCCACCGCACAAGTGACTCTTCCCAGAAACTGGTCCTCCTTATATACCCGGTGGGTGCCGCCAGTGTGCCCGTTCCCGAAAATCCCTTTCTGTAGTGTGACCGTTCGGCCCGGTGGTGTGACCGATCGTGGTTCACTAAGGCGCGCCCGCGCATTCAAATTCAAATCTTATTTATTTAATAACTCAACGGCGACTATTTCAGTGTCTTTTCTCTCCTTATAACTATGAACAAATTATCCTAAAAACTTCATTATTTGACTCTCCTTACAACTATAACAAATTATCCTAAGTACTTCATTATTTGACTCTCCTTACAACTATAACAAATTATCCTAAGTACTTCATTGTTTGGCTCCATGCCTATTTTTATATCTTATCCTAAACTCTTTTGCTTTGTCTTGCCTTGAGTTCAGATTTGAGTTGTCTTTTTATATCAGTAGGATATATATTGGGTGTAAAGATTAGTGGGCTTTTGTTGGTCGACTTTGCTGCTTGATCTGCTAGTTCGTTTCCCGTAATGCCTGCATGGCCAGGAATCCAAATTAATTTTATTTTTGGGGCTAACTGTGTTAATAGTGATCTTATTTTATTTGGGTAAATATTATTATTGTTTGTATTTTTAATTGAGTCTATTGCTGCGAGGGAGTCTGAGCAGATTACATATTTGCCTCTTTTGTTTTTTATAATTTTGATAGCTTCGAGAATGGCGATGATTTCGGCTGTTAAAACAGAGGAGTATGGTGGTAGGATTCCACAATTTAGGATGCTTTTTTCCGTTGTAATGGCGTATGTTATAATGTCAATTAATTTTGATCCGTCAGTGAATATAAAGTTGTGTGATTTAAGGTTTGATTTAGTGTCTTCGTATATTTTCTGATATATTTCTTTGGGTGTGTTGCTTTTTTTATGTAGTCGTATGGATGTGTCTATAAGGTTGGGTAGGTCCCAGGATGGCTTGAGTTTGTTTAGTTTTTGTGGTTCGAAAGGTAGATGAGATTGCTGGCAGAGATTCATTATACGGTCTATAATTGGTGGAGATTTCTTTTTAAGTTTACTTTGTTTTACGAATTTGTGAATTGGTGTGTCTTTGGAATAAATGAGGTTTTTATTTAGTTTGGCTGTTTGCAGATCTCGTTTTAATTCTATTGGAGGAATATTGGCTTCTTGTAGAAGGTTATTTGTTGGAGTAGAACGAAAGTCTCCGAGAGCTAGGCGAATAGGGGAGTTTAGGGGCGGTTTTAATTTGTTAAGTGTGGTTTTGGGTGCGTGTCCGTATAGGAACAGGCCGTAATCTATTTTTGAAACAATAGTAGCTTTTACCACGTTAATTAATGTGTATGTGCTGCAGTTAAACTTGAGACTGGATAGGCATTTTATTATATTTAGTTTTTTATGAAGTGAAGGTATAAGTTTATCTATGTGTGTGTTCCATTTGTATTTGCTGTCTATATTTATTCCTAAGATTTTTAACGAGTTTACTGTGGGGATTTGCATGCTATTGAATGTAACGACACAAGTGCAGTTATGCTTTTTGCAAATGTGGAGGTGTTGGCACTTTGATAAGGATAGGGATGCCCCGGAATATGAACCCCAGTTTTCTATGTCATTTAGGAGGTTGCCTAGGTTAAAGCTAATATTTTTCTTTTTATTAAAGTTAATTATGGGAAAATAGTCATCAGCGTATGCATTAAATTTGATTTCCTTGTGTAAGGATATTATATCGGACAATTTTTTAAAGGCTATGAGGAATAGTATAACGGAGATTGGGGATCCTTGAGGGATTCCATTGAATAAGGGTAGTGTGTTGGATCTGAGTTGACCGACACGAATTATTATTTTTCTGTTAAGCATAAAATTTCGGACGTAATTTATTATTTTCGGCCCTTTTTTCCATTCCTGAAGTTGGTCGATTATAGAATGCACACCTACTCGGTCGAAGGCTTTTGAAAAATCAAGAGTGACGAGTGAGCTGTGTTGGTGTGACTTCGATATGAGATAGTCTACGTAACTGACTGTCCGAAGTCGATTTGCCTTTTTTAAATCCAAATTGGTTTTTAATTAGCAGATTGTTGTAAGTTGCAAACCACCAAAGTCTTTTGGCTATGATCTTATCTAGTGTTTTTGCTAGGCAACCGTTAAGGGAGATGGGTCTGTAGGAGGTGGTTTGAGTTTTGTCACTGTTTGGTTTCAGGATAGGAATTATAAGGCTAGTTTTGAAGGCTTGTGGTATGTGAGTATCGAATATTTTGTTAAGTAGGGCTGTTATTCTGTTTTTTGTAGTATTGAAGCTATTTTTGATCATTTTGTAGGAGATTCTGTTGAGTCCTGGGGCAGATCCTTTGAGGATTTGTAGTGCTGACGCTAGTTCGAGGTTTGAAATCTGTTTTTCTATGGATTGAGCTGATGTGGAGGGTGTGTAATCTACATTATTGTTCCTGTATTTGTTGTTTCGAAAATGTTCTGGGAAGTTCATGTCGTGTGACAGGTTTGAAAAATGTTTAGCAAAGATATTAGCAATTTCGTTATTAGTTGTAGTTACTTCGTTGTTTTCTGGGTTTGTTATGGTGTGGATTTGTTTAACTGGGTTAAGTCCGCAGAAGCGTCTTATATTCGCCCATATTTTGGATGAAGTGGTTGATGGTTGGATGGTTGAAGTAAAGGATCTAGAGGCTTCATTTTTACTATTTTTTAAGGTGTATCTAAATTTTGCATTTTTATGTCTGTAGTCTTTGATGTTTTCTAGTGTTATATGGCGGTTGAGTGTTTTCCACGCTTTTTGTTTTTCTTTTTGTAGCTGGTCGAGATTTTTGTTCCACCATGGAACTCTGTAGGGGTGGGTATTTGATGAGGTTTGTGGGATGGAAAGGTTTGCGCTAGATAGAATGATTCTGTTAATTTGGGCTGCTTCTTTGTTTACGTTTTGAGAGGTTGGGTATTTTTCGTTTGATTGTTGCGTAAATAAGTTGTATTTTTCCCAGTTGGCCTCTTTTAGCTTAAAGAAGGGTATGTTGAATTTTTGTGTATTAGTTGATGGAAATAGGGTGATGATAATAGGAAAATGATCGCTACCATGAAGGTCATTCAGTATTTCCCACTTAGTGGGGGGGGGCCAAAATTGGAGAGCAGAGTGTGAGGTCTATGTGTGTGTAAGTGTTGTGAGTTGAAAAATGAGTGGGAGATTTATCGTTTAGTAGAATAAGGTGTGCATTGTCAATAAATCTTTGAGTTATTTTTCCTCGTGTGTTTGTTGTTGGTGAGCCCCAGGAAGGATGCCAACCATTGATATCCCCCATAATTAGTGAGGGGCTTGTTGTGTGTTAAATGCGTTTTGAAGTGTCTGGATAGTAATGTTTTTGGTGGGAGATATGTATGTTAAAGATATGTTTAATTTTAGTTTAGATTGTATATTTATGGTTATTGTTTCTAGGTCGTCTGTGGTGTTAGGGGTAGTGTGTTGAATTGACTTATAAACTAAAAGTGCTACGCCGCCAAATCTGTTGGTTGCTATGTTTGTTGATAGTTTGTAGTTTATTGGGATTGGTATATTGTTAGTGTATTGAATGTGGGTTTCTTGGAGGGAAATTATATGCGGTGAATGTTTTTTGATGAGAATAAGGAGTTGGTTAGAGTTATTTACATATCCTTTTAAATTCCATTGAATTATTATTAATGACATTTTAGTGAAGGTGAATGTTTGTAACTTAACTTAATTGGTAGTATTAACGGTTTAAGTTTAAGTCTTACTTAGAGTTTAAGGTTCTATATGGATTCGCTGTCGCTGTGGTTAGTAAGTTGGTTTTTGTTTAGCGCTTTGGTCTTAGTCTTAGATGCTTTAAGATTAGTGGTTAGGTTTTTAGACTTATCTTTATGGAAGATTTTTATTTTTAGTGAGTCTTCTGTGAGTTGTGACGAGTATGGTGTGGTTAGTTTTCTGGTATGTGTGATGCAGTCAATATCCATGTCTTCTAGTTTGTCGTAATCGTGGTGGTGATGGCGTTGAAGAGTTTGGCTTGATGGCAGAGTTGTTTTGACTAAACCGGTAGAAGTCGTATTTAATGGAGAAGTTTGGGTTCCTGATGTGGGTGTGGTGTTCGATTTTTTATGTTGTGGTTGTGTTGTGTTTATGTGTGTAT